GGGAAGAATAGTTTGTGTAATACATTTTAAAATCCACTACTCCAGTGGACAGGTGTCATTGCAGATTTCTTCCAATCATTTCCCATTAAATTGACTAAGGTGACGCTAAGGTCTCTGCTCAATGCAAGGCACATAAAATGTTTTCACACATGACAGTTCAAATTATTAAACTTTTCCATTACTAGGTATAGTTAACTCCAACATTTTTTTCATCTCCAATTAAAAAAATAGGATATTGGATAGAACTCAGATGTGAATTTACACAGTTTAAGCTCCTTTGTTGTTTCAAATTATGCCATCTTAAGGTATACATGTACACTGCAGCCAGGACAATGTGACTTGAAGCTTGTGTAGACATAACTGCATTAGCTTTAATCTAGCTACTTCACAAAAAACTGCAGTCATGATAAACAGTAGCACAGACCTCACAGAAGACAGGACAAACCCACCCGATTCTCCGGATACATATTTGCATTTTTAGCACATGCTGAAGCCTGTAATTCAGCAGTCCCATTGCTATTTTCAGCATGCTAGCGAGATTAAAGCTAACACAGGTGTATTTACACAAATAGTGGTTATTTGAAATATATACAAACCATACAGAACATTATTCATCTCCTTACACTGACAAGCAAGTAATTGATATAATGAACTTGTATAACAGATACACCTGTCAAATGTTCTTGACAGTGCTATTTACTTAAAAACACAGTACGGAACTTTTGCTGAATTTAATTTATTATGTGTAAGGCCCTACTTAATTCGCAATATTGAAGATCCTGCAATATTAGGCTTCCGCCACAATGTTGGTAGGAGCCCCTGTTCCTAGACCTGCGCTCTCACTCTTTGCACTGGGCTGCCAACAGTGGAAAATCATGGAAAAGTAATAATGGACCTTATTAGCACAAATAAGAAAGTCCATATGATGGACTAGACTAGGCTCTGAGGTCCCCTGCTGGAAGCCTTGTGGTCCTGCCACACCCCACCCCAGAAGAAGGCAGAGAGAGGTGCTCTGAGTTTCCTAGAGCATTTATGTGAGAACCAGTGAGTTAGGATACACCAGATGAGTATAAAAAGAGCTGCAGTGCCAGAACAAGGGTAGTTCCTTGCTAGAGCTGGAGAAGAGGTAAAGGTGAAGAATGTGCTGTAAGTGACCCTGGGAATTATAGCAGCAATGCAATTATTTAAAGGGAAACTGCAGATAGTCTTCTACAGGGTCATGGAGGTGGGACATGGACTACTAGAGGGTGGTCCTGGGTTGCCCTAACTGCCATTAGCTACTGGGGGAGGAAGCCTGTGATTGGGGATAGATGAAGACCTGGGGGTGCTGTAACTCAGTAACTAGGTTAAATTGACTGATTGCCTTCTCCCCCACCCCGTGTTGTGGGGGCATTGGGAAGGCTTGTGAGGCACATGGGGCCCTTTGCTCCTGCACTGGTATCAGCCCAGACTCACCTGCACTAATGAACAAGGCCCTTCTGGGGGCACTGAGTGAAGGAACCTGTCCCCCACAGAAAGGGGGCCTCCCCCATAATTCCATCAGGCCCCTGCTGGGAGGGATGCCTATTCCTCAAGGTACCCCGCTCCATAGTGCGGCCACAGAGCCCTCTCCTCTCCACTCCCCACCAGAGAGAAACCAGGATGTGACTGGCCGTGTTCTTCTGTTGGGGACTGAAGGCTGGCTCCCTTCTCTCCCTCATTGCGACCCAGACTAACCATATCTGCCGCCTGTCACCTTCCAAGCCCAGTGGCGGTGGGCAAGCTGGGTAGATGGTTGGCCCCAAGTTCTAGAATCTCCCCAGCCGCCCCACTCCCTGCACCCTTCTGCTTACTTGAATTTTGACGAGCAATTGCTGATAGGAGTGCTGCGGCTGTCTGATTGACATCACTCGCAAGACCTGATCTCACAGACACAGGGCACTCCAGGTGGGACAGGCGCAATGTGAAGCAGAGTACACAATAGCAGCCTGTGGCAGAAGGCTGTTTTAAACGAAGAACATATTGATTCCGGCTGCTGTGATGGACGACCCGGTGAAGACAGAACCTCGTGTCCCTGCCACCTGATAAGTGGAGAAGGTGGTTGGGGGCCTCCCACATCAAATAGTGATGTGAGGCGAGTCCAGCACATGCTACTTTGGGGGGGGGCAGTAGACCAGTTTGCACCTACAGGAGATGAGCAGCTGCTCTTGGGGGAGTGCACACAGCTTGTGAGGCCCAGCTCATGGGTCTTATTGAAGTCCTGGGAGGATTTCACAGGTATAATAGCCCAGTAGTTCACGACCCGGTACCAGTCTGCAGCCCAGCAGTTGGGAACTGCGTATGTAGATCATATTCTTGCAGGCAGCATGTATGGTAAGAGCAGTCTTGGTTCCCATGTAGACTTGCACAATGCCCTTTAGTCAAGTACTGAATGGTTACAGGATTTAATCTAACACTTAAAAAGCTATTGCAATAAAGTCTGAAATGAGAAGTATGTTCTTACACAATAGGACAACTCTAGTTCCAGCTATATTCCTCTTAACATTATGAATGTTTAAACTTCAAATCATAACTGAATGCGGATTCCAAGTGAAGTGGAACTTGAAATAAATCTACAAATTCCATTTCCAAATTTAATATCCCTTTTCTTCTCCTCTAAAAGACTTGTATTTGCCTCTCTTCCTGCATCAGCTCCATGACTACTGATCCCTAACTCTCAGCTGCTTTAAGTCACTAGCTTAAAAACCAGTTAAAATTGTTTTTTGCCAACTGGAGAGGACGTGAATCAGAAATTCTCAAAGTAACAGGAAACAGTTTTTATTAAAAACCAAACAAACAAACAAAAACAGCTTTCTTTACATTTAACACCTCATTGACATAAAAAGCTAAGTATGGGAAACGTCCAGGCCACGCATTTAACCTCATTAGCATTGGCCCAAGTGACAGGTACTCCCCCCCACTTCTTTTTCTGTTATAAATTCTGAGAGTCTCCGTTTTTCTCCACTTAAGCTCATCTGAAGAAGTGGGTTTTGCCAAGGAAAACTCATGATATGATATATATATTTTTAGTCAGTCTCCAAGGTGCCACAGGACTACTTGTTTTTACTAGTAAGGTACTATTTTAAACCAACTACTCTCTAATTTACCATTAAAATAATTAACTACATTTTGAAATCACTATATAGAATCTTTAATCTCAGGGGGAACAATCTCGAGAGATTAAGACCAAAACTTTCAAAATCCTACTCAGGACTTGTCTCCACTTAAACTGCTACAGCACTTAAACACAGCACCACCTATGCTGACAGAAGGGATTCTCCTGTTGGCATAGGTGGTGCTGTAGCAGGAGCTAGTGGGATAACAACATTAAGCCTGGGAGTGAATGGGAATGGGGAGTGCAGGGCCACATGATGTCAGAGGAAAAGGATGGGCAGAGACACCAAGAGTCAAGGCAGACTGAATCGGAGATGGCCAGGGTCTGCATGGGGGAGGCTCCCCAACTTTCTAACAATTAAATGTCAGGGTGTTGTACTCCTGATTAACCACTGAAAGCACATTTTTGTTGTTAAAAAAAATCCCCTGACGTTTTATTTTTTGTAAGGTGGCAAAAACAAAAACAAATGTTATTTGGCTACATTGCCAGATCCTTGACAAATTATTCGTGTGCTGATTTGCCAGATCCTTGACAAATTATTCATGTGCTGATTTTGGTATCTATTGCCACAAGCTCCTAATTAGCTCCCTCCACACTGCCTGCTATCCACCCACTATACGTAGAAGGTGGCAGATTTAGGAATGCTATTCATGTAACACTGCACGTCTTGTTCTACTTGTACAATTCAAATTTCCATTTCCTAATTTCTTAACACATTCAGTTAAAGAAATATTCACATTCACAGAGTTAAATGCCTGGTATATGGAAAATATCCAAGAATCCCAAACCAAGGAAGACAGAGAACATTTGTATAATACCTTAGTATTTCTAATGAAGTGTCCTCTATGGCACAATGCAGGACTTAATATAACTGTGTAAATTCCATGTACATAACAGGGATGTACGCGACTAATGAACTATCCAATAAGCAAATGCTTACTGGATAGTCAAGGGACTAGTTGACTAGTCTCTCTCCCCCTCCCCCGCCACTATCAGGCTAAGCTTATCAGGTAGTTGACTACTCATCGCTTATAGCCCTATGGGGAACCTTTTTTGGGTCAGGGGGGCTGCTGATCTACAGAAAAGTCAGTTGGGTGGGGATGCGTCATTGGCACAGGAGTGCCAGCATATGATTCTCAATGCTGGGCGGGAGGCAGGAACTCTGAGCCCCAGGGATTGCCTCTGGCTGGCTCCTGGGCCTTAGGTTCCCCACCCCTGATTTATAATGTTTACTTGTTTAATTTCTCACATAGATTAAATTTGAGTTGCTGGTTAGTCAGGTTCACTTTTAAGAGATCATATTTGCATGATACTGGAATAACTGGTTGGTTAACAATAGAGGAAAATACTAGTTTTTTAAATGTTTGCACTAGAAATACAAAAAACAACCCACCATATCATTTAATCTTAGACTTTAGGAAGACGCTTATGGTGTACATAAATTATATTTTCATCAAATTGACCAGAAATTGGGTCTGATTTTGTTTTCATTAGTTTCAACAAGAGCAGAATTGGTTCCATGGTACCTTTAAATGTAAACCTGTGACCTGAAATCCAGCTTCTCTACCATATGGGATACAGAAGTTTCAAGTATGCATATTTCTTCTTAAATTTTTATTTTTAAAAGTATGGCTAAATATCCAAATTACTGGTGAAGATATGCTAAAAATTTACAGCTGTTCAGCAAAAGTAGGCTTCTAGAGTGAAATGTAAATACGTTCCTTTTAGTAGAATCAGATGACACCTCATAAGATTCTCTCTC